AAATAAAAAACAATTAGAAAATTCCTTGATCCCAAGTCATTTAAATGACACTAGAGAGTTATTTTGAATCTCCTAATGAACATAAAGTGGACTTCATACAGACAGCGCAGTATAAGCTTAGGAGCACAAGTGATTGACAATTATGCGGAAGTTCTTTCGATCACCACTTACTGTATTCTATCACAAAAGTATTTTCCGGAAAATAATAGTTGTTTAACACCATACCATTTCAATTTAAAGGACGCCACTAAGGTCTAAAAGCATAAAACTATTAAATATTTTGAATTCTTACTTAAAGCAACTAAGGCCCTTAAAAAGTTAAAATATGCAAACATAATAGATAAATAAATATATTCCCTATGTTTTTTAACAGTTTTAGCTTCAAATGATTTTTCTTCATATTCAGGCAATTTTGCACAAGTCGAATGATTATTTTAGAAAACGTGTTTTGTTTTGTTTGGTTACACCAACACAATTAAAGTCATACAGCACCAAACTACTGATAAGTAACTTTTAAATTTGTTAATAAGCTATTTGTCAAGATCTAATCAAACATTTTACAAATCTTGAAAAAGATTGTCCATTTCCGTCACATAGAGAAAATAACCGGAATTAAGGTTTTACCTACAATCCATTATCATTCGAACTGCTCATTCATTTGCATATCAAACATATGAATAAGAAATGATCAGCAATAAATTGTACGTATATGTACTTTTATAGTAAACATTATTATATAAATAACAGGAAGTCTATGATAACGTCATAGAAATTTGATCCGGAAACAAACAAGTATCAGTTGAAAAATTTTATTATTTACTTGCCTTTTAAATGTTTAAGCGATTTTACACATCTTGTTTAACTTAGCCTTATTTGGTTGTGGTTTTTCTAAATAAAATTACTGTTGATTCCTGCAAAGTCATCAAACATTGTTTAGGTTTTCCGCAGGGATACACTCTAATGGATATTTCATTTCGCTACTAAAATTGTTTTCTCTGACATCTACGATGCATACATAATATGATGTTTACACAGACACAGACTTAATGTTATAACAAATGTACTTCTCTAAGCCGCATCATTATTTAAGAGTACTTTAACTTTTCACCTTATCAAACTGATGTTTTCCAGTATAACAATCATTTGGTAATCCATGTATCATTTACCATATAAAAGCTTAATATACGCAAGTATTTTCAACATGTAAACATAAACATTACGTTTGGTCTTGATAATGAAGATCAAAGTTGATATTTACAATTTTTTCCCAAAATCGAAATCAATTTGATAAAGTTTTTTATCCTTGTAATTTGATGGAGTGAGGATTAATCTCACACTGCATGTTTAAAGTGTCTGATAACGCAACCAGGCAGGATCGTAAATCTTATGCAACTTAAAAACGAAAAAAAATTCAGATCATTCGAACCCGCTAGAAATGTTAAGCAGTGAGGGAAGTCATATAAAGCGTTCTTCTCTTTTCTCGGGCAATCTAACAATTGTACAACTGACTAATTTGAGAGGAGTAAAGGTACATTACTATGCACTGTCTTCGTTCCTAATAGGTTCTGTCTTTCTTTCATTTTCGCCAACAAATCTCAATCACACCGTCATTTTACAAATACGTGGTGTTTCATGAGCAAATATTTTAGGAGCAAGAACGTCATTGTGCCATGCACTTTTTTCGTATCTTAGAACGAATCGTCAAGTTCCTGGTATGGTTAGCAAAAGTTTAAGAGAGTAGATAACTACTGTTAATGATTTAAGGCTGAATATGACAATACTATTTCTTGCCAGAACACCTCAAACATTTTGGCAGTAGAGCGATTTATATTATTACATATTTAGCATACGATCTTAGAGCAGTTAAAGTGAATTAGTATTTTGTAATGGAACTCGAAATACTACTTTTATATTTTGCAATATTTTATGAACATAAATTCAGATTTAGTGCACTTTCTTCAGCTGCAAAGCACATAAAAAATATCAATCAAAGGAAACTTTATATTGAATTGGTGATTCATGTAAGACAATGTTGATGTTAACATGGCAATAACTAAATTGTATAATTGAGAAACTTGGTATTCCGCGAATGATTACCCTTAACATTGTTTGCATATAAATGCAAAAAATATGATAACTTTATTGAGAGTTCAAAAATAAATAACGGTGTTTGACACAAACGATGAGAGAGTGCTGCTTAATTGGATATCATTGCCTGAATCAATGACTGGCTGACTGTTGAATTAAACACAACAGTGTATGAATAAAGCAAAGTGAACGATACTGGCTAGGATTGTTAGTATTGTTCGACTTGAAAAACATTAGCAAACACTGAAATACAAATCTTAACTCATCATCAAAACATAAACATTGCATACTTTTTCATTATTGTATCTATTTTTAATTAACGTCGAAAATTTTCAGAAATGTTTCAATATCGGTATGTATAGTTTTATTTTATGATCAAACAAGACTACCACCGCAATCATAATTGTATGCAATTCATCATTGCCATCGTAGCGATCATCATACTTGGCACCATGATTATTATAACATTATTATACGTTTCAAAAATCGTTAACATTTACATTCTTTTATTTTACTGCTTGATATGTAAACAAATTTAACATTTTTATAAGGACGTTAAGGTTAAGCATTGTATTTCTTTTTAAATTTGATATTCCAATGAAACCACTATTAAATTGCTTTCCGAGTGATAAATCGTTTATACAGTGAAGAGAAGCCGTCACATCAAACAGCAAATTATCAATTTTTTCTGATTCACCAACGTGTACAGACACTAGTGTTATTTATACATTATACAGTGTGAACAAATGGTAAGATAATCAGACAAGCCACACAAACACGAACATTTAGTAATTAAATTTAATTGCAAACGTTTCGGCTATATGCCTTCATGGACTAAATAATAAAGTATTGTTTGATTTATAATGCGTTACATGAATATTAATATGTTTGTCTATTATCTTATTATTTTTAACAAATGGTAAGAGAATATGTTGTTATTGAATTATATATGCGACAAAGCTTTGCAAAAGACATTTGTCATTTTTTTAAAAAAGAAACATCATGACAATGACAACCCAACAATGACTTATATTGGTTATATTTTCACATGAATGTCCACAATTTTTGAAAAGCTCTAACAATATTTATGGGGAGATCTCTTATAACTTGATGATTGAATTAATGAATGGTTCATTGGTAATAGGGACAATTGTGCTTCATAGCGATATGCAAATAAAATACTTAAGATACGTGTATAATGATTAAAAAGTCGTCAAATCTTGTTGTACAAAATGTACATTTCATACATGAAATTATGTATTTATATTATGCAATTTATTTCTCTTTTCTTTTTTTTTCTTTTTTTGACACACGATTTCAACATTTTAATGATTTATTTGCTGTTTAAAATTGTATTTCATATTTTCATGAACTTGCTCTCTGATAACGATCTAGCAATCTCTTGAAGGAAATTAAAAGAAAAACAAAACTTGTCAGTTAAGATTTCTTTCATTCAAACAAAGCTTCTAAACATATATGCCAAACATACTGAAATTTTGAACTTGATAGATAAGCAACGAAAAAAATCACGTAATCTAATGTTTTGCATTCTACTACAATTTTATCAATAAAATAAAGTACACTTAGAACACTCCCACTCAACAAAGATAGGTGCTGTAGTTTCATATCTTACTTTGTGTTATGTTTCATCATATATGTTGTTAAGTACGTGCTTTATCTCAATGACTTTGAAGAACACTTGTTTTGCTTCTCTATTTTATCTTAAGAGTCTTAAGTGCAAAGAATGCATTAAGATGCTAGGTAATTTTAAAAGCTTGTTAAGTCAGAAGATTTCATTTATCAACTTCTTTAAAAGATATAAATCGATAACTGAAACTGTCATACATAATGATTAATGGTTGTAATAGAGTTGGTTTTTAAAATGAAGTGCACATTTATCTTATCAATCAAATGTACTATTCAAGAATTTTAGTTACTCATAGGCAGATTTGAAGATTCTGATCAACAAAATGTGAGATAAATTTAAAACTTGGTTTTGTAGTTTGTAAACATTTTTTTGTTTAAATTAGTCATGTTGCAACTATTTATGATGTTTCAGTAGTGTTACAATAACAATAATATTGAATTTATCCTTCATAATATGAAACAGTTTGTACTCTTACACGTTTCAATCGTGCAAATTCTTTGGCGTTTAATAACTCAAATTGCCTTTTTGTATTTCAGCGATAAGGAAGTGGCTGTTATAAAAAAACGGAAAAGCCGAAACCGTTATGTTAGTAATGAAATACATTTTGTCTTAAGAATCATAGTAGTTTCATTTTTAAGAAGAGGATCGATGCTATTTTTTCTCGTAAGTTATTGCTTAAGTTGATTGGGACATTTTAGGTAGTTAAATACTGTGGTATGAACGATTTTCCAAGACAATTAAGCTTTTCTATGAAGCAAAGACATTCTATGAAATACATTTCAAGCGTTTCATTTTATAATTTTACCATAACCGGATACTTTTAAATGAGCTAGTTTTCATTTACGTTAAATGGCACAACAAGCTCAGATTATAGTGTACAAGGAGCAAATCTGCATTCCAATGAGCTGAATCGACATTAAGGGCAATTTTATCCTAATGTTCGGCTTTGTTTTGGGCAATTTACACAAAAGAAGGATTATTTTCGAAACAAGACACGGAGAAAGTGGATGATCTGAAAGTTTGCACGCATCTTTAATATGTACAGTCTCGTTTGCCACAAACTTCATTAGAGTCCTCGCCAAACCTGTGAACATATATTGCCTATCATAATTATATTTAAAGATAACACTATAAGTCGACAGAACCTAATCTAAATAGCCTATGCTACCTGGAATTGGGATATGACTTTAAATGAGATTAAATACAGTTTAGCTTGAACGTTATTTCTATTGTCACGAGTCCTCTAGTATGAATGAATACTTACATAAATGTACCTGGTGTTTACATCTGTATCCTCACACACTTGTAAACGTATATCAGCTCAAATAGGTCGTTACAATTATATCTGAAAAAAAAATAACACAGTTTAAAAAAAAAATTATATCAATTTTTTCATGGACATGAAAATGTCTAAAGATAATAAAGTAGCGGCACAGTCGAGTGGTTAGTAATCTAAGGAATGCTTGGCGCGTGGGTTAAAACCCCGTCAGAGGCAAGCCATCGATAAACTTTACGCTCATTGCTTCGTACCGGTTGGTCGTAGGAACATATTCGAATTGATATAAAATCGTTTAAACAAATACAAATAAATATTCTTTCATAATTTACATAATAAGAAAACTTTATACTGTGACTGTATATAAAATCTGGAATTGCAGACTCGGTTTGATTGAGTCTTTACATGAGGGATAATGAGTAAGTGCAACATCACTCACACCCCCTGGCACCGGCTTGAGCGGTACTCATTCCTCAACACTTAACAGTGCTGGCATCAATGATCCCGAAGGACCAGAAAATTATAACAACACTGAAGTGAAGTACGGGGCAACTTTTTACAGCTGCCACATAGCACTTGACACCTGCTGTTGGGAAGTATAAAAATCTGGAAACAAAGTGATCCCTCGAAAGCATTAATCACAACAAAATTACAAGAGAATTGCAAAAGTTATATGAGCAGCGTCACGACAAAACCAACATAATGCGTTTGCGACCAGCATGGATCAAGACCAGCCTGCGCGTCCGCGCAGTCTGATCTGGATCCATGCTGTTCACTTACCAACCCTATTACAAGTAGCAAAACTGATAGCGAACAGCATGGATCCTGACAAGACTTTGCGGATGCGCAGGCTGGTCTTGATCAATGCTGGTCGCAAATGCATTACGTTGGTTTTGTCGTGACGCGGCAAAGATATTTAAAGATAAAAATAAGTAAACTCATAAGTATATCTGATACATATATTCATTTTCTAAATTATTAGTGTGTAAAACAATGTTGTTTCTGCATCTTGAATTCACAATTGATTTTTATATAATTTGTATCTATGTATCGTATACACATAATTTGTCTCTAGATGCAACTCTTCAAAACATGTTTTTTTATATAAATCAAGATTAATATATGTACCATAGTCAATATATATTAATTCCGACGTCCAACATATCGCTCATAGTATTCTGAACCTAAGTTTCGGATTACAAATCAATCAGATTCAGCATTAAACATTCATTTAGTTCAATGATATCATCTAATCTTTTTTAATCTTCTAATGAACGTAAAGTGGTCTTACAACAGATATTTGAGCTTCTAAATGGCATGATCATATGAGTGTAAGATTTATATAAAAAGGGCTTTTCATGTCAGTTTAACGTTAGTTTTCAGATCAAAACTATTTATGAATCATCTTCTTTTATTTCTAAATGACATATTAAGCCTAATAAAGTAGATTTCCTTCTCCACTTTATTGCTCTTATCCGTGAGAATAACACTCAATTTATAAATGTTCGGAAATGATTAACTATAATTGTGATTTGAACTCGTTTGATTTGTTGTTATGCTGTCTTTAGCTAATTGACATATAATTGTTGCACAAACAAACACGATCGGGATGACTGTCGATATAAAAAGGTAAAGGTCGGTCTTGTTTATTATAATGTCACCCCTATTAAAAAGGCCAGCCATTTCTCAAGAAATCTATAGAAATAAAAAATAAATATACAAAGCTATAAAGTTTAAATTTTGCAGGCTCGGTTTGATCGAGAATATTCATGGGCGGTAGTAATAATTGCAAGCTACCCTCTATGCCCCCCCCCCCCTATCATCAGAATTCATTATTCAACATGAAACATTAGAAAAGTGTGTCCTGTGATACTTTTTTCAAGGCTTTGACCCGTGCTAAGTTTGGATTCGACAAACATATACAATGTTCTTTAACTTTAGGGTCATACTAAGACTTCGATTGAATGATACTGAAGTGTCACATTGAATGCCTCCTGGTCATCGCGGTTTGGTTTGTGAGTAAAATGTTACTTTATTCCTTAAACTCTCAATGACTATTAATTTGATGATTTGATGAAAACTAGGACTAGTATTACATCTATCAACATGTTTACGAAATTATTATCTTCATGTGAATCCTTATTTAAAAAAAAACAACAACAACCAAAACAAACGTTAATTGAGACATTCTAAAAACATTCTGATTTTTTTAAACAAGTTGATTAAACTATTGTTGTAAAAGATATAAAGGGCGTCCAGAACGACAAACTCGAAAATAGAGCAGACTTTTCTTAATTGACGGTAGTATTATAAACATACTAACGTTAACGCCAACTGTTCGTGCCATTTCATAAATAGCAACACATTGTTTCAAAATGATAAATCCATGCGCCTTGAACTAGAAAACAATTGGCAAAAATGATATAAAATAATTTTTAAAAATATTGTTAAGTAATGGAGCTTGCATATCACAAAGAGCCACCAAAAGAATAAAATAGCAAGCAACATAAACTGAGAGTGAGGAGACAACGTTTAATAAGGTATACTTGAACTACTCGACTAGAAAGTAGTGAAAAAAATTAAATGCAACAAGTATAATAACAACATCGCCTTGAATGATTTGCAATATCTTATCTCCGATTGAATGTATGATTTAAAACCTTAGTTTGATATCTTATACTGGTATTCTGCTGTCTTCTTTCTAGCATATGCTCATATATTGTGATCAGCTTCAGGCCAAATACGTTAGTGCTTAGCTTGCATTTTGATCGCAGTAATGCAATGAATTACCTAAATATTGAAACGATAAACCTTTTCATTAGGTATGCCAAATTGATTTGCTGTAAATAATCAGTGACAAACAGTGATACAAAACCTGTATGAAACATGAAAAACAATGCCGAGGCAATAAACTCATATTGATCCTTAAAGGCAGTATTTCATGACGACATCATTATTGTAAATTGCACAATAACAGTCAACATTTTATCGTCCCTAAATTACCCTTGTCAAATATTTTATGCAAACAATCAGTCTGCCAAAGGAAATATTGGTTATATAGTAACCAAAATTATTTCCTCTCGTGAAAAGGTTAAGGGAATCGAATTATGTTTGCGTTTGTTTTTTTTGTTTGTTTTTTTTATGCTTTTTTATTGTTTATTTGTTTTTTCTCTTTTTTTCAATTAACATAGTAATTTATTGCAAAGTTGATATTATTTCAATATATTTATTGTGAAAAATGTGTCAGTAAAAAAAAAGAATATTCAACCTGCATAAACACACAAATCGACACGCTGCAAATGCGGTATTGAAGGAAAATTTTGATTTTTTTTTCATTTTTTACACTGTAAATATATACATTGTTACTTGTTTAACTTCATTTTTCCAGTAATATCTTCAAGCACTCTGGGAAGGTATGATATTCTTTGAGAACAATATTTTGTTTCTTCTTACGTGTTCTAATTTTCTCCAACTCTGTGTTTTTATTATAATCATGATAATCCTGGAACATGTTGTTAAAGCTCTTTCCTTAAACGAACTTGTCATATTTTTGGACTCTGGACAAAACATTCAATAATTAGGGAAATGATAAAGATATATTTTGACTTAATAGCGTACAATGAAGATTATAATCAGACAGCACGGACATGCTGGCTGATCTTAGTCTACTCAAAGCAAAAAATAAAATGAGGTACAGAAAACAGATTGTATGCAATAATTGAAACGTGGTAAAGCAAGACGGCCACTATTCGAGATAACTTGAACTTATAGAGAAGATACTTCTTGTATTCTTAACAACTGTACAAATTAAAATACTGAAGTAACATTAAGCAAACTATAATCATTCTGATAATCTCTCAGAGGCAAGTATTCTTTGACAAATTGTACAATCAATATTAAATATTAAACAATAATAGTAATCGCATTTGACATAAACGATAAAAGGAGGGGAACACAGTATATTTTATTAATAACTTAAGAACGAATTGGACATATTTTGATTGTTCAGAATTGTTATGCTACATACTTTGGAAAATAATATATCCATTGCATAACATCTTCGAAAAAGCGATGACTAAGACATGAAAAACGACATTAAAATATTAAGCTGTTTCCCGATTTTGTTTGCAGAAACTATCAATCAAATAATCATTCAAACACAGCGGTGGCGTAAAAGCATTTGTGTTGTTTTTGTTTGCTCGTTTTGTAAAGAAGAACCTTTATACGAGTTGCAGTGCGAGCTTAAACTCCTCAAACTTTCAATGTATCCAAATGTTTTCTGGTTTTTCTTGCTATTAACATTTATCTTTGTTGCAATTCAATATTTTTGCAATAAACACACGATTAAAAGAAATACGTGAACAAATTATCATCACAAACAACAACAAATTGAAGGAAAAAATATAACTTGATGGGTACAATATTTTAAAACTCCTGCTTAATCAGTGATAACAATATATTTTATGACAAACTTCAGTTTGATAGAAGATGTACTTAATCGCATACTTTCTTTTGTAGGGGCACACCTTATCCTCAAATCATAATGACATTGTATGGAAACTCCGTTTTTATATTGTTCTCTTAAAAGTTATCTAGCAAATTGTTTTCATCATAAAAATGTCTTGAACAAACGCCAAAAGTCATGAATATCTTTAAAAATACTTTACAACTTGCCACCTTCGTAAAAGTACGTTGAATGTTTATATATGAATGTGTATGTGAATACCATACAATAATACTAGTTTATAAACTATGTTTAATTGAACATCCATTTGTCTTCATGTTGTCTGTGATATAAAAAAGAACATTATCTAATCCATGCTCTCAAATCTGGAGTCACTACTTAAACTAGGTAAATGTTGATTACTTTTTAAATAGGTGTGAACAATCACGTGGCGATTCAATTTAAATTTGAAAACGATTCGTAACAGGAACTGAATTGAAAATGGAGTCTGAATTATTCTAAGAAAGCAGATCATTTATACCACTTAGTTTACAGCTTGTGACATAATAAGTTTACTGTGAAAAAAGTTTTGTTTTAAATTTGATACATTTCAGACAAAACAAAT